AAAACAGTCACACACAGGCGCACACAACCACACGAAACACACTAAATACATAGAACTTCTCTCCTCTTAAGCCAGGCGTACACTGTGTGATTTTTAACCCTTTTTGAACCAGTCTTTGAGCTGATTTTTCACTCGTGCTACCGTTTTGGAGATCAGGCCGAGTTTTGGCTTAATCGTGTATTGTGTTTCATGTAGTAACTTATCCATGCGTTTGTCTCCAGTAGGTCAGACTACTGTAATGGTCTGCTCACTGGTCTCTCCAAACGAGCTGTGAGACGCTGCAGAACATCCAGAACGCTGCAGCTCGGGTCCTTACTCGAACCAGGAAGTACGAGCACATAAGTCCTGTGCTCAGGTCTCTGCACTGGCTTCCTGTGCCTCAGAGAATAGACTTTAAAGCAGCTCTGCTTGTGTACAAGTCTCTCCATGGCCGAGCACCAAAGTACATCTGTGACATGTTAGTGTCATATGAACCATCTCGCACTCTGAGGACCTCAGGGACCGGCCTCCTGCTGGTGCCCAGAGTCAGGACTAAACAAGGGGAGTCAGCGTTTCAGGTTCATGCAGCTAAAACCTGGAACAGTCTTCCTGAACATGTGAGACAGACTCTTCTGTGACGCTGTTTAAATCCAGGCTCAAAACATTTCTGTTTAACTGTGCATATAACTGAAAGGTTTTCATTCCGCACTCTTCTCTCCAATTTATGTCTCTCTTTTTTTTTTATTTTAATCTTCATGATTATTTATGTTTTGATTTGTTTTTATTATGATTGTAATGTATTTCTTATTCTGTAAAGCACTTTGAATTACTTTGTGTACGAATTGTGCTATACAAATAAACTTGCCTTGCCTAGTATACATGGGGTAACAAGAACCAATTAATACCTCCCGACCAGCTCCCGATGGACAATCGTACGTCGCATGAACATCCAACTTGTTTGAAATCCAGTCACCTCTCGTGAGAGTTTCACACTGCTGAAGTAGTTCATATAGAACATGAAACGTGAGCTGTGAACTTTTAATGTGTGTGAGTGAAACAATCGAAAATATCGCACAGTGTATGTCTGGCATTACTCAAACCTGAGGGACATGCAAACCTCCACATTTTAAAGATCAGGTTGAAGGTGCATTGTGTGTCTTGGTTGAGGGTCTGTCAAACGTCAAATGCTTTTCTTCATGTTCTCGCTTTGTCTGAAATGTTTCACAGTATGGCATTAAACCTTTCTATCTTCATGGAGACCAAACTAGACTAAGTCACATGTCAGATCTGTGGAAAGGCGATCCCGCTCACAGTTAGAGTGCCTGTTTTTCTCAGTATTTTTGAGCTTTAAAACCACTTGTGATTAAATAAATGCAAGGTAGAGCTGTTTAATGTCACACGGGGAAATATTCCAGGCAGAGCAATGACGTAGCCATAGAAACATCAAGACCTGTGACCAAAAAGTTACATAATGCACCTTTTAAAGTACAAAACTATCAACCTTTTTACTGTAAGGCGAGTCTTATATGACCGGCTGCTTTGTTCCCCTCCATAATACTACAAATAACACCTTCTGTAGATATACACTGGTTTTGTCCTCATCAATAGCAGGTTGTCTGTCAGAAGAACACCTGAAAAGAACAGAAGATAATAGGTCTAGTGAAGCCTTATGGGTAATGTTGAACAGGCCTAGCTCTTAAAGATCCTATATTGTGCAAAACTGACTCTTGTGAGCTTTAAGACACGTTACTTTAGCAAAAATATATACTCGGAGTTGTGTTTTGTTTCATTCACACGTTTGAGTTGCCCTTTATTGTTAGTCTGTCTACATCTCCAAAAACTCAAAATGCTCTGTTCCATCTTGTGTCATGAAGCGGGAGTTTCCAAGTTAACAGCTACCTTTTACCTTTTGTTCCTGTCTGAAATCATCCAAATCCAAAATCCAGATCCACTTTATTTCTACAGCACATTTTACAAACAAAGCAGTTTCCAAAGGGCTGCATAGAGATCATAAAATGAAGGTAAATTACTAAAATTTGGTAATACCAGTCCTAAAACAATAAAATCATTAAAAGCAAAAATCATAAAAAGTCATAAAATAGCATTAAATAAGTAAAATAAATAAAAGGCATAAAGGCCCACACAACTCACGCAGTGTTAAAAGCCAGAAAATAAAAGTGGGTTTCAAGATGAGACTTAAAACACTCCACTGTGGGGGCTGTTCGGACTGGGGGGCAGAACGTTCCAGAGTCTGGAGCCGGCCACAGAGAAGGCCCGGTCCACCCTGGTTTTAAGTCTCGTTTTAGACACCACGAGTTGGAGCTGGTCCTCAGACCTCAGGAAGTGCACAGGGGGTGTAAATTTGGATGAAGGCCGAGACGTACTGTGGGAGCCAGTCTATTCAAAGCCTTAAAAACAAACAATAAAATCTTAAAACCAACTCTAAAATAAACTAGAAGTCGGTGCAACAACGCTAAAATCAAATGATTATAGCGAAGGTGAATGGAGTGGAGCACTCCTGTATTACCAAATGACATCCTATGTGGTAATTCTGAAGAAAGGTTTGTGTGAATGAACCAAAACACAACACTAGGTATATTTTGTGCATAAATCAAAAAATTGCATAATATGGGTCCTTTTAGTCTTTTTTAACTAGCATCTTCACACCGTCCGTCCCCGCCGGTTCAAAAAGACACCTGTGCTTGTCTATAACTTATGCACACCCACATCAGACGGAGCGTGTGCACCAGACAAAGACAAACGAGGAGTCTAGGGTGCTCCTCCTCCCCCACCCATCTGCACCCCCGCTGTGGCACCCTACTTCCACGGTCAAAGCAACCCACTCATCCCGCTATAACGAGTACGCCCTGGCTTTCATCTGCGGCCTGGGGGTTGTAGATGTGACGAGGGAGGCCAAGGGTTCACGGAGGTTCGGGGGATTTTGGGGTGGGGCAGGCAGGCTAGGTGGGTGGGGGCGTCGGTAGTGTCGCACCCATTCGCTGTCATGAAATATGTATAGACGCCATGCCGTAGACGAGAGATAATTGATTCCTGGGGACGCCATTAGTTCGGCACCTGTGAACCCTGCCCCCTCCCCGATCTGGAGGATAGACCCCGCCCCGAGTGTTAATGAGGAGGAGGGGAGAGAGAGAGGAGGAAGGAGATGAATGAAGCAGACACGCCCAGTAGCTCAGGGATACAGCACTAGTGATCTGTCAGTGTTAGCAAGGAGCCACTGGCATGTTTTGAAACCCGAGTGAGGGACCTGAGCAATTTGAAGAGTGCAGATTCTGAATATATTTGAGATAAATGCCCTCAAAACAAAACTGTGAGGAGAGTAAAAACAGGAAAAGTTGGAAATATTAGAAAAATAACATCAAACGAAATCTGGAAATAACAACAACATCAAACAACAACAAATAACAACAACCAACTACAACCAACAACCACAACCAACAACCAAAAAAAAAAAACAACCAACCAACAATCACAATTAACAACCAACAAAAAACGGCAACAACCAACCAACAACCACAACCAACCAACAACAACAACAACCAACCAACAACAACAACAACAACCAACCAACAATCACAACTAACAACCGCAACGAACAACCAACAACACCAACCACCAACCAACCATCCAACAACAACCAACTACAACCAACAACAACAATCAACAACCGCAATCAACAACTACAACCAACCGCAACCAACAACCGACAACAACCAACCACAACCAAACAATCCAATAAATTATAATAGATAAATTAAAAGAAATAAGGAATAAAATCAAGCTAAAACCAGTTAAAGGAAGGCCAATCGAGAAAAATTTGTCTTATGAAGTGTTTTAAAAGATGCTATTTATATATACAGATACACTACCGATCAAAAATTTTATAACAACCAAATTTTTCCAGTCATTTATTGCAATTCAAGTTGTGTAAGTCCAATGAATAGCTTGAAATGGTACAAAGGTAAGAACTGAACAGCCAGAGGTTAAAAAAGTACAAGATGGTGAGCTTGAAAACATGAAGTGGCCAGCACAGCCTCCAGACTGAAGCCCCATCGAGCTGGTTTAGAATGAACTGGACAAAAGAGTGAAGCAACCTACAAGTGCCACACATTTATGGAAACTTCTGCAACAGACTTGGGAAGAACTTTCTGAAGAATATTTGATTTCTTTTGTAAAAAGAATGCCACAAGTGTGTTTTATAGACCATGTTTTGGTCAACTCAAATTGCTTATTTGTTCTATACTTTCAGTGTTTGGTTCTAAAACGTTTGACCGGTAGTGTACATGTGAAATAATGAGAAAAATACACAACTCTTTGGCCTACACTATCTAAAAAATAAATGCACTTTTTTTTTTCTTCTTTTTTTTTTTTTTTAACTCAGTAGCTCAGTTGGTAGAATGTTTGTCCACTGATCAGAAGGCGTCTGGTTCAAATCCTGCTCTCAAAATAAACATCAGTGGTCAAGTGGTCAGAGCCACAGACCCACAGGTTGGTGGTGCGATTCTAACTCCCACAGATGAATACTGTCATTCACTAAACCACTTCTACCCCAGTGTCTGTATAGGCTGAGGTGCAAATGGGTGAGGTAGAAAAACGGCATGTAAAAATGTGTCCATTTAACATCTGAATTCATAAATCTCCAACAAGTTTCCATAGTCACTGAGCAAGATTAGCTAAAATACCTTGCAAACATGTAACTTGAAAACAAAATGCTTCAAAATGCATTATGAATCTTCTATTAGCATCAACTGACATCTTAATTCTGAATAAGCACCTCCGTCTGTCTTTTCAATTATGCACTTACATAAATTATCTCTAGTGACTTCATTTGTGAAAGGGTAATCAGTAACACCGCAGCCATATTAAAATGTAAATGAGCAGTTTGAATTGAATTAATTGTATTTTGTTAGACACTTCTTAAATTTTACAATATAGTCTGCTGCTTTGGTGGGGACTGGGACATTTTCAACTTCATGTCTACATATCAGCCGTAGATTACGGACGTAACTCTGGCCTCTTACTGGCCCAGGAAAGCCGCAGCACCCGAGGGTCAACAAACACGACAAAACAAAAATCAAGTTCTTCACCTTTTTTCCTTTAATTGGCATGAGCAGATCTGACCGCATGTCCCCATGACAGACAACAGGCAACACCCCGTGACAAAAAAATTCCCCCTTATATAGTTAGGCCTAAACCACTAAGCCCCAAACAGGTAAGTTTAAACTTCTAAAAACTACTACATATAGAATAATACGATTTTCAACTATTTACATTTCATCAATTCATATTGCACTTTGAAACATCAAGATTATCAGTTTTTCGCTATTATTTCATGTATTAGTTAAATAGTTAAAACCATTTTAACAGTTAAACCTCCCCTCCCCCAGAAGCACTTGGCAGAGTCCAAATCAGGGCGATGGGATGCACCTGGCCTGCACTGATAAGGGCGCGCCTCCAAATCAGTGCCTCCACCAATCACCTCAAAGGAAAGGGGAAAAAAAAGGAATGAAACAGGGAAAATTAACATGGCATCAAATGAAAATAGGTGAAAACATAAAGGTGTACACCTGATGAGTGAGGGTGTGGTCTATAGCTCCCTCACATTTCCTCCCCCCTCGGAAGGCACGACCTCGGGACTGCGGGACAGGAAGTCTGCCACGGCATTCTGCTTCCCGCCACGTCATGCTGCAGGTCCGACAGTTGGTTTGTCAAACTGTCCACTTCCTCTCGGAGCCCTGAAATCTCCTCCTGATCACGTAGATGCTGCTCCTCCAGTTTGGTGATCTCCTCCAACTTGTCCCTCTGCCGCCCGATCTCAGCCTTTTGTCTGTTGATGATTTCTCTGTATTTGCTAAGCTCGTCTTCCCACCGTGGTCTCTCATCCTCTAGGCATTTTAACTTGGTCCGTAGTGTTTCCAGTTCATCCATGGATTCTTTGTAACTCTTCTTCAGATCTTCTAGCTCCTTTGCCTTCACTTTATGGAGCTCTAATTGATCCGTTTGTTCTTGCCTGTGTTTTTCTAGCTCTCCTTTGGTTTCCCTCCTTTTACGTGGTTTACAATAGCCCTCGCTTGGTACATCAGACTCAAAAAACGGTAAGTCAGACAAGGTATTTTGTGCAACCTGTACCAAGTTTTTACCTAGCTGCTGCTGAACTAGGTCAACCTGAATGTCCCCACCGTCTACCCCAGAACTCTCCTTGGCTTTGTGCTGAGATCTGGTAACCACACAGACCGGTTTACAGGACTGGACTAGGTCTGCCAACACAGGAATGTCCTGACCCAAGATCACCTGGTGAGCTAGATTTTCCACCACCCCCACTGTCAACAGGTAAGTTTGGCCAGCCACCTCTACATACACTATGGCAGTTGGATAGAGCCGATGATCCCCATGCACACAAGATATGTCAAGGCATGGACCCCCGCACTGGCCCTGCCCCTTTAAAACTGAGGGGTTAACCAGGGTTTGGACACTGCCAGTATCAAGCAAAGCTAAAGTTGGCTCCCCATTCACTTTAACCTCAGTAAGCTGCTGCTTGCCCTCACCTGAAACCCCCCCTCTTCCCGGTCGGGGTACAGTACACAAATAAGCTGATTTAGCTTTTCTGGCAGGGCAATCTGGCTTTTTGTGCCCCCTCCTGACCACATGAAAAACAAACAAGAGGCTTACTGGAGGGTATAACGTTACTAGAGCACCCACTTCCCCCTCTTGACTTAGCAGCCCCTCCCATCTGAACGGGACCACCACCTATACCAGAGCCCACAGACTCACCCTGTGACATGCCGCCCCTAGACTGTGGGTCGAACCGGAAGGTCTTTGGTCCCCGTCGGGCAGATAAAAAGTTCTCCACAAGCTCAGCCGCTTCACGTCCAGATGCTGGGGTACGTTCCTTAACCCAGACTCTCAACTCTGGTGACAGTGAACGATAGAACTGCTCCAAGATGAGGACCTCACCCACTTGCTCTTTTGCTTTCTTCTCTGGCTGCATCCATTTCAGGTACAAGTCTTTGAGGCGATTATAAAACTCTCTAGGAGTTTCTCCAGGCTGGAGGTCTGGCTCACGGAACCGCTGGCGATATACATCCTCATTGATTTCGTACTTCATCAGAATTGCTTCCTTCACCTTTTTATAGTTGCAGGATTCTTCAAAGTCCATGGCCACATAGGCTGCACGGGCCTTACCAGTCAGATAGGGGATAAGCCTCACTGCCCACTCAAGCTCTGGCCATTGGTATGCGGTTGCCAGGCGCTCAAACGTGGTGAGATACTGTTCAATGTCGTCCCCTTCCTCTAATCTGGGAATAGCTGACTGTGCCCAGCCTCTTGCAGTATGCTCCTGTAGCATGGGGGACACTGCTACCTGTTCCTCCTGTTGCTGTCGATGGGGAGTGAAATGGGGTTGGGGGCCACCCCTTATCGGAGAAGCAAGACCCTCTCTGAGGCTGCTGACTTGCTCCTCTATCTGCTGCCATCTCTCTTCCTGCTTCTTTGACTCTTCGTTCCATCGCTTACTCAAGTCTGACTGAAACTTAAGACATTTTTGAAGCATGCATACCAGAGAGTCAGTTTCGGCTTCCTTGGATGATCCTACCACAGGTTCTCCTCCTGTAGCCCCCTCCTCCAGAGCCTCCTCCACACCCTGGACCTTGGGTGTTTTTTTGGGTGCCATGTCTTATTGATGTCCTCAGATTGGCACGACGATCCCACTTCTGACACCAAATGTAAGATTACGGACGTAACTCTGGCCTCTTACTGGCCCAGGAAAGCCGCAGCACCCGAGGGTCAACAAACACGACAAAACAAAAATCAAGTTCTTCACCTTTTTTCCTTTAATTGGCATGAGCAGATCTGACCGCATGTCCCCATGACAGACAACAGGCAACACCCCGTGACAAAAAAATTCCCCTTATATAGTTAGGCCTAAACCACTAAGCCCCAAACAGGTAAGTTTAAACTTCTAAAAACTACTACATATAGAATAATACGATTTTCAACTATTTACATTTCATCAATTCATATTGCACTTTGAAACATCAAGATTATCAGTTTTTTCGCTATTATTTCATGTATTAGTTAAATAGTTAAAACCATTTTAACAGTTAAACCTCCCCACCCCCAGAAGCACTTTGGCAGAGTCCAAATCAGGGCGATGGGATGCACCTGGCCTGCACTGATAAGGGCGCGCCTCCAAATCAGTGCCTCCACCAATCACCTCAAAGGAAAGGGGAAAAAAAGGAATGAAACAGGGAAAATTAACATGGCATCAAATGAAAATAGGTGAAAACATAAAGGTGTACACCTGATGAGTGAGGGTGTGGTCTACAGCTCCCTCACATTTCCTCCCCCTCGGAAGGCACGACCTCGGGACTGCGGGACAGGAAGTCTGCCACGGCATTCTGCTTCCCGCCACGTCATGCTGCAGGTCCGACAGTTGGTTTGTCAAACTGTCCACTTCCTCTCGGAGCCTGAAATCTCCTCCTGATCACGTAGATGCTGCTCCTCCAGTTTGGTGATCTCCTCCAACTTGTCCCTCTGCCGCCCGATCTCAGCCTTTTGTCTGTTGATGATTTCTCTGTATTTGCTAAGCTCGTCTTCCACCGTGGTCTCTCATCCTCTAGGCATTTTAACTTGGTCCGTAGTGTTTCCAGTTCATCCATGGATTCTTTGTAACTCTTCTTCAGATCTTCTAGCTCTTTGCTTCACTTATGGAGCCTAATTGATCCGTTTGTTCTTGCCTGTTTTTCTAGCTCTCCTTTGTTTCCCTCCTTTTACGTGGTTACAATAGCCCTCGCTTGGTACATCAGCTCCAAAACGGTAAGTCAGACAAGGTTTTGTGCAACCTGTACCAAGTTTACTAGTGCTGTGACTCATCAAGTAAATTTTGCATAATATAGGACCTTTCATTCTAGAAACAGACTTTTGGAACCTCATTCTGTCTGTAAGTAAAGAATGTTACTACAAATTTTCACCACAATTACTACTAAAGCTTGCATGAGACAATGACCACGAGACCTTAATATTATTTAATATGAATTAGTGACACTTTAAAAGTACAAAAACAAACATTTTATCAAAGCATTCGCCAAATTTTACATTTTAAAGATGCTTCAAAATAATTATTAAACATTATGGACATTAGTTACCTTACTGCTGGTTGGCCTCAATTTTCTATAAAAGTCTGCGGGAAAAATGAATGGGAAGATTACTTCTGGAACCAGGACTGTTGAGCTCCATTATTCACTCCCTGTATAAAAATATCCAGTCATCCTCCACCAAAAACAACCTGTGCTTCACCTGTTCTTTCTGTTTGTACAAGTTTAGTTCAAGTTTATTTAAAATATATGACAGTCATGAATATGTAAATTGACCATTCACTTCTCCATTGGGATGTCTTCTGCTCCATGTCCCCTCCTAAACCACAGCTCTCCCCTCACAGTCCCAGAACGGTGCCTCTACCTTATCTGTCCCCTTGCCCTTCACTGCCGGGCCATACACCATCTGCCACTGGAGCAGGACATTGGCCATTACATAACTGCACTCGTCTCCTGCTCTGTTAGCGCCCCCTCTCCCAGCATCGTGAGAGAGGGGAGGAGATGTCACCCTTGGGCCCCGCCGAAAAGAGCCCCAATCCACACCATCCTGACACATCTAAAATGGGCTGAAGATCAACTAAACTTTATAAAGCAGAGTTTAGTGGAGAGATGTCCCGGATTAGTGCGGTCAATG